ATACAAAACATATTTGTCAGGTACAAAATTAACAAAACAAAAGTAGAAAAGAAGTAAAGAACTCACACAAGATTTACTCATGAAACATCATGCTATTTAAAAGCTATCTTTTATTCACTTCTGAATAAATCGAATTGTGATTAATTTCATTCAAGTCTACTTTTAAACTTTCATAATTTGGATCATTTTCAACATATTCAACAGTCATCGTCCTAGTCAAGCTTGCATAGTCTGGTTCAGATGGTTTGTCAATTTTTTTTATCCGAGCATAACCATGACTAGTGGGTCGTAACTCTTCGTAATTAGGATCAACATCTGAAGTCTGCGTCTTTTTAGGTTCAACCAATCTATCATAAATACCTTCATCATACAAAGGGGGCAAAATAGGAGATGTTTGTTCTGGTGAATCATTGCGTTTCTTCATTACTTTTGCATACATCTCGTCCAGGTATTCTGGAGGTTTAGGTAGAGGTGAATTTGCTGGACGTTTTTCAGGCTTAGGCGAATTAGAACTCACAGCACTTGATGAAGAATCTACAAAAAAATTGATCATCAGAAATTGATTTACAACATTTTCATTTCATGTATACCATCAATATAGATCTGTACACTTTTAAATTATAAAAAGAATTACCCTGTCTGGAATGTGTTTGTTCAGGTCCATTAATGTGCGATGTAGAAGCTTTATATGTCTGACCTGTTGAAGCAACTGGTATATTATTTGCACTAGGTATCTGAGCATATGTTTCACTTCCACTAGTGTAAACATTATTGCTTGGATCAATAATAGCTGCATACATTTCATCTGTGTAAATAATAAATACATATTTATTATAAGATATTTTAATATTTTAATTAAGATATAACACATACCAGAATCGTCTGAGACAAATGCATAATGAGGATCTGATGGTATACTGCCATTTCGAGCATTGGACATGATCCTTGATAATGGTTCTCGAACACTAATACTTGTATATCCTTCTAAAATTTGGTTATAATTTAAAAAAAAAATATTAAAACAATTATTCCAAAAAATATTCTTACTACTAGAATCATGTGAATCGCCACTGTAATGTCCCTGTCTCGGTTGCACATTTAATGGATGTTCTGTAGGTCCTACTGGTGGAGTCATATAAGGAATGTTAATGCTAGCAGCTTCATCGCCTGCAATTACACTAGCCGCTGCTATATCTTGATCAGGAGCTCTGTCAACTTCATCCAATTCTATTGACTCAGTCAAACTGGCTTTCTCCGATCTATAACAGTCATTTTGAAAATAATATATATATATATATTTGAAGTATAATGTGGACTAAACAATAAATAACTATTAATTACCTCTGGGAACCAGGATACTGATTAGCTGCATTATGCACACCAACTTTAGCATATGGATGTTCCTGTTTTAATTTGTCATATGGATTTTCCTTGTTCACACAAGCATAGACACATTCACTTTTGGATGCTGTGGTGCCACTTGATGGAGACATTGTGTTATTCACATATTTTGAAGAGTCTCCTTTGATGCCATTTTTATTTTCTTCAACAGTAGCATACAGTTCAGAGTTTGTATCACCACCATACCAAACAGCAGTGGCAACAGCATCTGAACCTCTAGGGGTTTCAACAGGTAAATCAGGAAGACTTCTAGTGGCTGAAGATAAAGTTGCACCTGCTGAACTTCTGTTGAAATATAAATCAAAAAATTAGGTACACATGAAATTATAAATACAATTCTTAATATAAAAACCTTTTGGTACTATTTGTTGGGGACGGACTAGTTGATAAGTTCCTGTTCACTGGTTCTGGTCCAACATCAGGATTGGTAATTTTTACCATGCCAGCAAGACCAAGTAATTCATTTCTATTGTAATACAAGCAAACAAAAATAAAAATAAACAAAACATTACATTCCAAAAAAAAATAATAAAATAATTTAATTTGAGTTTCAACTTTTAATAGACTAAATGTTTAAAGTGTTGTTAGCAAACAATAGCAACAATTATAATTCATTTTCATAAGTGCAAGCATTCATTTTTATAATTGTTGGACAACATTACTTCACAAGACCAAGTTTATAAAATAATTCTATAACAAACTACGAGTACAAAGTGCACATATCTGATATTAATAGTCTTAAAAGGATACACTTAGCAATGCATACTTCTAATGTTATCAGGTCTAGGTGAACCTACCGATACTCTGGTCAGCTAGAGAACATGCTGTGGCTCATCAAAAATTGGTTATTCCTGTCTCCCACACATCCCTATGTGACCCTCCCCATTGCCAAAGTGGTGCTGGTCTTAATGGCAAGGTACTGATGGGGTTGAACAGAATCAGCATGTTCTCTCGCTGGACTGATTATAGGTAAATATTAATTCTTTTTTAAATTATTATACACAGGTGTTCCGTGAGGATATACCCATTAACCATATAGGGGGACTCGCTGCCTGGATAAAAACCAGTTTTTTGTTATGTTTTACATACAAACTAAAAAAATGATTAAAAATCATGAAAATAAAATAATGAAAGATCAAAATTTTCAGAAAAATAAACTCTACAAAATACTTAGGAGTTATATTAATGGGTAAATCCACCCAGTATATCATATAACAATATTTTTGATTTTGAAACCATGATCAACAAACATTCTGTGGGAAATTAAAAATCATTTGTTGTTAAAAATAAATAAATATAAAAAGATAAGCAATTTGCCAATCTGAAAACTGTAAAATAATTAAAGATACTTAAAAAATACAAGATACTATCTAAGTACCTAAATTTGAAAATAAATGTAAAATGTTGAACACAAATTCACTTAATTGACATTCTAACAAAAATGCATATTGAAAATATAAGTTAAATTTTATGACCAATAGGAATAATTTTCTATTTTTTTTTGATTTTTTTGACAAAATTAGTTTCTTGGGTTTAATATTTATTCTCTACATTTATTATTTTAGTGTATTGTTTAAGGTGTATATACCTACTACCTATATCTGTACTAACTTAGATACCCAACTAATTTAAAAAAAAACATGTGTAATTAATTCTTTTTAAGAATTTATCTAATTTGTATGGTTTATTATTTGTTATTAATAAATAATAATATAACTTTGTTGTATAATTTGTAGAACGTGATGTAAAATTGTAGTATAGATATAAAAATCTTTAAAAATATATTTATTTTAAATAAATACCTTATAATACAAAATAATTAAAATCAAACAGACACCTTTAAAGTATTTTTTAAATGTCAATATAATACTTTGATGTACTTACAATAATAGCAAACAATATACATTAAGAATTGCAAACACAGTTGTACATGCATACAAATAAAACTTATATAGAATGATTCACCAAGCATACTCGCCATAATTTTTAAAATTTTGATTTTGTTATTTATAAGTATACTTAAAGACCATATTTTCAAATACCTACTTTGATTTTTTTACCATTTAAGAATTAAGGAAAGTTCTATGGCGATACAAACCCCCTTTTTTAAAATGAGAACCAACAAATCTTTTATACTGTGCATTGTTCACAGATGTTTTTTTTCGAAAATTTGAATGTATCTAAATACAAATCTGAACGATTCATTATGAGTTGTTCAAATATCTTTAAATCAACTAAAGATAATAGTTCTTAACAGTGCAGTGGCGTAAAACATATACTTCAGGAAGTTGAATTGAACTGCCTTCAAAATTGAGTGGGTGGATGCCAGGTGGGCAAAATAATAGAGTAACTTTTAATTAAATGACCAGCCTACTTGAATCGCTAATAAGTTAAGCCAGGTAAAAGACCAGGGTTATGGTTTGTTGGACTTCTTTATTTATTTTTGTTCTGCATACTTATTTTCTATTGGTTCACATACTCATCTAAATACTCTTTTTTCATAACAAGACATTTGTCTTCATCTTCTTTGGTGGTCGACCATGCATCTTATGCATACGTCAACATTAATCATATTGATCGTTAAGAGCAAGGGTGGCAAACCTCAAGTACCTAAAGTACAAGGACATTCCTTTACCCTTTCACTGCTCCAGACATATTATTACGTTTCTGTATTTTATAATATTATCATCGGCCTAGTAACTGCACAATTTTAGGAAACCCTGGCTTGAATTATTGTAAACTTAAATAAATAAATATTATGGATCTTAAAATGTTATTTTACTTACCATAGGAACACAGGTTGCATACCATAAATAATGTATCAGTGACAAGGTTAAAATTTAAATGGAATACAAATCTAAGTATGTGAAAATATGGTCTTTAAGTAAACTTAAAAATGCCAAAATTTATTATTTAAGGTAAATTGGAAGTGAATGTGCATTTTGAATCATCCTGTATAGGTAGTGCCATATATATGTTACAAATATCTACTACATATACCGTTTTAATATAAATAAAATGCAGCTTATAATATTAAGATTAAACCCAATAGTTTTAATTTTAAACATAATTATAAAATATGACTTACTTTGGTATTGATTTGTGACATCCGCATATACAGGCGACAATCAGTATAATGGTAGTAAACAATAGTCCACCAGACACAAACCATATCAAGCTATCCTCAAACATCATGATATTATGATATAATTAAATGTCATTTTAACGCGAATAGAACTTAACCTTGTGGGTTTTTAAACATTAAAATTCGGTTTTTGGATCAATTTTGAAAGTAATCTTAGTACGTTTTACATATTTCTTAGCGATTGAGCATTTGGAAGACTGACACCGCATAATTACACAATAATCACACAATAACATTAACACGAATTCAATAGTAACTTGAAAACACAACTTTAAAAACTTAGAACCATTTCAACAGAGTAATAGCACTTCGTTATACTTTCCAAATTAAATTGTATGTTAAAAATTGTTTAATGTTTATCAACCGTGTTATCAAAATTTTTTTTTATTACGGTAATCCCCACTTTCCGTCAAATCGGTGTAATTACTAATTCGTACGTATCCACAAGTTGGTGAGTCAATTCACTAATCTATGGCCATGAAAATAATAATATAATAATATGATTTATGATAAACGATAATATTAATATTTTAAAATTTGACATTTTGTTGTTTGCTCTCTAAACCGTGTACCTGACACTATTTTTATACAATCCTTTTTTTTTAGATGTTATAGTTGTATTACTAACGTTGATACTTATCAATTATTGCATTTCATTTTATTGTTTTTGTATTTCAAGAACCATGGGAAAAAGAACAGTTTTAATTATTCTATTTCTATGCTATTATGTAAGTGCATATTCACGTTCAGACGAAAACGAAACGTTGAAAAAAAAACTATCCTTAAACAATGAACCAGAATTCAATGTTCGGCAACTTAATAAACCATTCAAAATTAATAAACTAAATTTAGTTTGGAGCAAAGCTAAACAGGTAACTCTTAACGATGAGTTTTATTTTGATATATCTATTTTAAACTCAAAATAATATGTTTGTCATTTACAGAGATGTTCAGAACCGGAATTGAGATCATTATTATCAGAATTGCGAATTCATGATGAAGACGAGCGAGAACTTAAGATCTACAAAACCAAAAATTTAGATAAAGATGGGGAAATGGAATCTATTGTCCGAAAAAAACTCTTAGGTAAAGTGACGTGTTTGTTGTGTTGTAAGGCCAGGGGTAAAAAAACCACCATGACCCATTGCATACCACTGCCATAACATAATTTTTAACATCGTTTCTACACAGTTAAATTTACAAAAAAAAAATAATTTCTTAACTATTTAGAGTTGAATTAAATGTATAAATAATTATACTATAATTATTTAATTAAAATAGCAAACAAATTATTATTAATTGTTGGATGGTTATTGATTAAAAATTATAATGTGTAGACTGTAGGTTCTTAAATAACAATATACAGTGACGTCTATTATCTGCACTAAATAATTTTTGCACAAAATTATTTATAGATTTCAGTTTTATCATTTGTATTACATTAGAGATTATTTTATTATCTACTGTGGTTCACTTTAATGTAGGTATGTAATTTTAAATTTAGTTGGTTTGTGAGCGCTATCGAGTACATGTTTAAATTAAAATTTATTCGAAAAGAAAATAATGTGTTAAATTGAAATATTAAAAAAACTTGATAAATACATAAATAAAACATTTAAATTAATGTTCACTGTATGTATATTTAAACCACTGTTTGGTTATCCACACAAATTAATTATTTGCACCACCTCTGTCCCAATTAATGCAGATAATTATATCTCCACTGTATTGGTATTTAAATATTCTTGAAAGTGTAATATTTATTAATTGAATTGCCTAAAAAACTAAGAGTCAATTAATTTCTATGAATTTTAAGCTAATTTGCAATATAATTAGGTATATTTTATTTTATGCCATTTTTTGATTATTATGGTTCTATAAATGTATAAATTATATTTTGATTTCACTACTATTCATTATTTTAAAGGTATATTGGAAAGATACAAGTTAAGCTATCATTTTGATGATAGTGTGAATGAATCTCAAATTAATCATACACATTTTGAAACTCAAGATCGTGTTTCTGCAGATTCATCTAAAGTTGTTGATAAATATTTATTACATGATAAACGATTAAATCAATTATGGGACCAAGCTAAACAATCTGGTTTTACAAGTAATATAACTTATAATTTCTAATTTTCAACTGAAGTTATTATAAAATGTTATCATTTATTTTTAGATATTGAGCTAATAGCGCTGAAAGATGAATTTTTAAGCCACCAAAATAAAATTGATGAATTTTATTCATTGACAAATGAAATTGAACACATGCAAAATGATATACCCATTGGTGAATATATTTTTTAAACTCAAAAATAACTAAATGAGATTAAACAATTCATTTTAATAAAAACTTATGCTTTTAGCGATTTCAAAAAAAGGATTAAAAGATGATTTCAATTCATTACACGAATCTCAAGATTTTACAGATTTCAGTCATAAACAAAGAAACTTACAGTAATTAAATATATATAATTAGTCATAGCGAAAAAAAACAAAGTGTTATACCTTATATGTATACATAAGTCAATAACATGGACTAAGATCAAATAGACTGGTATTGTCAAGGTGAGTAGGACTCACTAATGTCTGTCAAATACCATGTGTTATAGGACCATAACTGTGACTGCATGAATGGTGGTTTCATTTTAAACTATTGACTAGATATAACATGTAATCTAGTTTGTTGTTTAAAATCGAAAATACCATACATGCTAGTGACAGTTAAGGTCCATTAACACTAAACATTTGTGGTACACTGAAATTATTTTGATGCCAGTCTAATATATCTTAGTTCGTGGCCAATAATATATAACAGTTAACAATAACAAAAAATTATTACCAACAATTTTAATGTTTGAAAAATAGTAGGTAACTGTATCAGGTCTACAAACATTTTGGTTTACACTAAGAGACAATTTACTATACTCTATTCAGAATGAGATCGTACCTCGGCAGCCGACACATCAGCGCATGGGCGTGGCTTCGTTCTGCAGTGGTAGTCTCAAGACTGCCTGGGTGGGGGAAGTGTCTGACTGTGATCGGACGAAAACTGGTCGCCGCTGGGGTGCAATCTCATTTTGAATAGAGGATAGACATTTGTTGGTCCAAACCTGAAGAAAATGATTCCGCACAGGTATAATGAACCATATCTATCAATGATATGGTACAAACATCTCGATGCGTGTTTTTCATACCGGTTTAAGTAAACAGATTTTTAGATTATATTATGGGTGTGATTTTCTTTAATATTAATACTGCTATTATCTAGGTAGTTGAGACATAATTTTTAGTTAATGTTTAGTCTCATTCTCTAAAATTCACAGTTTGATTTTTATTAATTGTTAATTGTTAAATCCTAAGTAATATGTTATTTTATTCACCCATAATAATGATATCATGATATCAATTTAAACATTCATTTAACTGTTGATTAAAACAGTTACAAAATAAATTTATAATTTATATAAGTTTTTTTTACTCATCTTTCAAAAACACAGAATATCTTTAATATATACACAATACAAATACACTCATTTTTCTTTCTAGCTAATCACATTAAGTTATAAATAGTGATTTTGTAGACTCACTGTTTAAAACTTGTATCTGTATATTTTATTATTTTCGGTTTGTATTATTTAGAAATCGAGTACGTGATATAAAAGATAGCTTTGATCGTCTTCATCGGCTATCACTCACCGGTCCAAATAGTGAAGAGTTTGTGGAACCTAAAGTACAAGAAATCTGGATTAAAGCTCAAGAAACAAATTTTAGTAAAGACGAACTGATATTTCTGCATGTAAGAAATAAATAAATAATTAGTTATTTTAAATTTCATGTTGAACAATTTATATTTATTAAGAACTTTTAGGATGAATTAAAAGAATATGAGCGACGGTTATTAAAACTACGACATTTTAATGTGGATCTAGCAGCTGGAAATGAACATGATGATATTGAAAAAAAAATTAAAAAAGAGAGTAGAAATGTGCAAAAGCTACACAAAATACTGGAAGACAAAATACAAAAACGGAGGGAAGAATTATAGACTTATAATACTGTTGCCACTACTGGACAAAATTATATTTTTAATTTTTTATATTTATTCATACTTATTGTTAATATTAATTTTATATCAATAGCAACTAGACTTCACTAAATATTGTTTGTACATAACTATTTTATTATTATTCATAATAATAAATTACCTGTTTGTTTTTTCTAAAACTTTTGTAATGGACAATAAAGAAAAATCTATTGTTACTCCTATAATTGATTCACTTCCATTAAGGGATACTAACAATGACACAGTTGATGTTATTAAACATGAAAAAGTAAGATTTGATAATATCATGTTATTTTTTTTTATTATTTATGTCTTAGTCACATGATTTTATAAAAATTTACTTTTCTGCAGTTGACTCAAATTTATAAAGGTCCCATGGTAAGAGGTTGTTATCATGGCCTAGGTTTAATAACGTGGGTACAAGAAAATGAAAAGCAAATATATGAAGGGTATTTTTATGTAAATCAGATTCACGGTTATGGTCGTATGATTTATGGCAATGGTTTGATTTTTGAGGTAATCAATAAACTATGGCAACTTGAATAAAATATGACATTTGCAAAATTAATTACAGGGACTGTTTAAAGATAACATGCGTTTTGGACCTGGTGTGATGACGTATCCTGATAAGTTCCAAGAAGTGGGTTTTTGGGTAGGGACTAGTATTTTTCGTTTAAGTTATAATTTGACAACTCGTTTAGTTCCATCATATTCATCAAATGTTTCTATCAAAATAAAATTGCTTCAGTTCAGACACCTCATTGATCTTACCCAAGTTAGTTGTAATTATTTATATTTTTTTTTTTCATAAAGAAAATGTAAGTTATAAAATTCAATATTGATTTATGTTCTAGCCACCTCATTCAATTACAAATATACGTGACAACAACGAAAAATATCTTAATAATAATTACTCATGTCCATACACAAGACATTTTAGCAGTTTATATTTTGATTCAAAAATATTTGATACAGAATTCATTTATAAGTCTATAATATTAGAGAATGACAAACAGATAAAAAAAGAGAATCGATTTATACGTGGCTATGATTTGGTCGATTTGATACAAAAGAACTATTTAGTAGGTATCAAAAACTAATTGTTTTTTCACCTAAATAATTCTAAATTCTGTCTTATGATAAAACTGAAACAGATAATAGGCATTCCAATTAAAATTATTATATTTTATTAGGCTTCTAAAATTATATATATTCTTACCCTTATAGAAAATACCCGAAAAGGGAATATCGCAGTCAAATAACAAATTTTTATTGAACTGTAGTATTGGTATTGATAAACAAAGTGAAATTCTAAATGAAAACTCGTGGTCCATTATTAGTAATAAAATCGACGATTTTGAATCAAATGAAAAAAATCCTCAAAATGATCAAAATGAAGACCGTAATTTTCCAAAAATGTTAGCATACAATAACAACACTTTAGACAAAATGATATTAGCACATGCTTATCAACAGCAATTTGGTGAAGTAGATACCTATTTTTAAGACGTCAACAATAAAAATAAAAAAAACAGGTAATATACCTAATGAATTTCTGTATACTTATTATGTTTTTTTAGAAGACCTTACTATACAATATTGACGATGTTTGGAATGGGAAACGTAACATGTTCATGCCCTCGCATAGTCATGAGTTAGAAGCTGTAAAGTTGTTGTCAAAATTAGATATAAGCCCTGAAAACATACAATATACTATTCAAAAACACAACATTGATTTGGATGTAGCTGATTCTCAAGGGAATACTCGTCTCATGATTTCTTCCGTAATATTTTACATTTCAATTTTTCTTTTCGTAACTTTGTATTTACACCGTACCTAGGTATACCTATTATAACCTATCTGTATTTTTAAGGCCAATGACCAACATGAAATTATTAAATGTCTAATTAAACTCGGCGCTGACCTAGAATGCTACAATGATGTTGGCTTTACTCCTTTGAACCTAACTATTATGCGATACATATGTTTGTTAAATAACATAAACTATTGGACCGAATATTTAATACCTCATGTCGATTTAAAATTTAATATTATAAAGGGTAAGTTATATCAATTGATTTTTTGTATGATTTTTCTTCTTAATATCGTATTAATACAACTCAATATCTGTACTCCAATAATTTGGCTTAAATTTTAATTAGTAGGTACTTCACTATACCTACTGATATATTTTGGAAGATTAAAATATTACCTATTACATTTCATAAGTAAGTAGGTAGATACCTACTTAAATAGTGCCTATAACTTATTAATTATTTATAGAAATTATAATTTTGTTTGGGTAGGTACTAGGTACCTTCCTACCAACATTTATCGTACTTTACTGCAGTGGGTACCATATACTTCTACCTACAGCATAGGCGCAAATAGGACGGGGGGTTAAGGTCTAAGCCTCCCCAAACATTTTCTAAATTTTTTTTAAGCTTATTTTCAATATGGTAGAGCATCAGCCCAGCCAAATCTCTAATGCTATTTGCGTCTATGTTGCGTACAAAGGTATATGTAGTAAAGTTGTTGTATAATTATATACCTAATTATGCTGAATATTTGTTTTAGAAGATCAACATATTACATTAAAAAACATTCAGAAAATAAACTTCTTTCAGCCAGAAAATTTAAAAAATTTGAAAGTAAATTATATTTTGGTATCTAAATATTTTACTAAGTCAATACAAATCAATACATTTTGTAAGTTGTATTGCTGTATAGCAAGTTAGTAATAGGTACTAATCAGGATTTTCGCCACAACTAAACATGATTACAGTAATATATTTCCAAATAAAATAAAGTGAGGAATCGAACATCATTACCTACCTCTAAATCTGCATTTGAAATTCACCCCTCCCCTCCCCTTTGAACTAGGGTATATTGGCGACTGTCGTCAGGTAGGTATATTAAAAAAAATACCTATATAAGTGTATTATAGGCATTGTTGAGTTATGTCTAGATACAAATTAAGTATCTTCATCTTATCTAGATGAAAAAATGTATTAGTAGGTATATCTAATGGGTATCTAAGATTTAAGTTTTGGAAATCTACATAAATATGTAGATAAATCTTGTGCAATGCACTTGTATTTTTTTCAATAATCGTTAACTCATTTAGCCATTTTACATCAAACATTTTAATATTACCACAAATGACAAATCACAATTTTATCTACAAGAGTACAAAACAATAATAGCATTTGCTTGCTGTTTTCTCGTAATAATTTTATTCTACCTTGACCTGTTACTACAATTTTTAGATCACAATATTTATGTTCGATAAGACGATTAGGAATTAACAATTATAGCAGTGAAGTATCCGCTCACCGACCGACCGCAATAGTCGTATATCAATACAAGATATAAATATAACACCGTGTACTCGAATATTGATAAATAATGTGGAAAATACTCAAAATAGTTCTCGCACGGCACAGGCAAATTTATTTTGTATCGACAATACCAATTACCAATTCTCAATTGAACCGTTCACGTTATACTTAGTTGTACATTATTTCTGTGTTTATATAATATATCATAACATATTATTTATGTATTATTATACATAAGCCTTTCTGGTTTGCCTTCTAGTTAATCAATTACTCAGTCATGAATCAATTAACATGTCGAGCATTAATACAAAATTAATTATTGTAAGATAGAAATCTAGATGAAAAACTTTTATCCACATAAATACATAATTATCTAGATGAAAATTGAATATTCTATCTTCATACTATTAATCTATGTATTAATTTAGCTAGTAATCTAACATTTACCTAGTTGTTATTTTTGCTATCTGAACTCAAATTTATATTTCACAATTTACTAGGTAGGTACATAGGTTAAATTATGGTTTTTAATAAAAATAAACAAATACGTAAATGTGAGATAAACAATCTTCAATCCTAATTCTAAAAAACCGATGAGATCAATTAAACAATTAAAAAAGCTTGAGTTTATTTATAAATGATTTAATATTGAATAATAGTTTACAGAAATTGATGATAATGTTGAAGAGACGACTTCAACGCCGATTCAAGTATCTACAAAAAAGTAAGCTACTTATATGATATACGATTGTCAATATTATAAATTATATATTGTTTATCGTTATCGACACAAGTGGGTAGGTATTTGGATATAATAAGTTTGCATCATCTCTGAATATTTTAGACGGACATCATTAGGCTCGGTTGAAGACACAATATTACTTTTGATTAATATGGGTGCTAAAGTAACAACTTGCATCGTTCCAAAAATGACAATTCATTTAGCCTTGTTGACAATAAATTCGAACATAATGAAATCCGTGTTCAATGCTGGAGGATCTCCAACTTATACTTTATCCGATCAGGTATTTATTAGTTCAACTCGATAGAAATATAAAAATCTATACATTGTATAATTATTATTATTATTGTATAATGTATATTGTAGAACTATAAATTTAATTTATTACACATGGCTGTTGTGATGCCCACAAGCTACAGCGTGGTCCAGTGTATTAAAGTCTTAATTGCACACTGTGTCAACCCAAATTTAAAAGCGTTGGTAATTACTTTAAATTCTACGTAATATTACTAAATTCGTAGATACTCTAGAGCTTATAGTACCTTAGTAACCTTCGATATTTTTTTAGCCTATGTTTAGTATTTTTCGACATAAATTACCATGGAGTAAAATATCAAATGAAAAAAATGCTTCTATGACACCTTTAGACATTTTTTGCTTAAAAGAAAATATATACGAATTAGATGAAGAATTAATTGTCGATGAGCAATCAGAAAATGAATTAGCCTCTATACTTTATGACATTACGGAGAAAAGTCATACTTATTGTGGTTTTAAGCCCATTGCTTTGGCTATGTTGACAGGAAAATTACATTTGACCAAAAAGTTTTTGGAAAAAAATAGATCAGTTGTAAACGAAAATATTTCTGGTTTTGGAACTCTATTGTCATTATTACTTAATCCATTTTACAACTTCAACTTATCAAATACAGAACTAAATAAACTGTTGGATTTGTTGTTAAAAGCAAATTCAAATCCCTTAAAGATTGTTGAGATTTTTGTTAAGAAATTCAGAGGCAATATTTGTGAATATTATACCAGTTTATCTGAATTAAAAAAGTATTCTATTTGATTTTAAGAAATGAAATTGCAATTGACTCTCAAATTGTATTTATTAGTCTCAGCGGAGAAAAACACCCATCGTGTAATTCAAATATCACTGAAATAGAGAATAAATTAAGAAATTCCGGTAGACAAATCTTAGATGAAATGTATTCAAAAAGAGCTACTGTTGCACTAATGTAAGTACTTACACAAGTAATTATAAACATAACATCAGTTTTGGGTACTCCGATGCCTACATTAAGAATAAATGAATAATCATATATACATATAAGAATATGAAGAATCCTTATAAGTCCTGAAGTTTAGCATAGGTACCTATACTGACGCTCGTGTTCATATTATATCGATAAACCATAGGTTATGACAGATAATCTGACATTATATATACATTTTTAATATTGGGCCTATAGGTATCAATTGAGCCGAAATAGCCATTTTACTTGTAAGAAATCCACTGGCTTTAGCGACTCCAAACGTTTTTACAATATATTGATTCTGATGACTTGAAGTCAATTGACTTAATAATAAAACTAAGTGTCAAAGGCTTGCATTAACATGTATGTTATTTTATTTTATGGAATATAACTATGCAAGTTACACCATACTTATTCAATATATGTTATATTATATTATACCTAGTAAATATTTTATTTTATTAGTACCCACCATATTAATAGACTATATTATATAATTATAGCTGTAATTTGCAAAATAACAAAATAAAGCTGTCAAAGTGGTGATTATAAATGGTGATTAATTTGAATTGTATTAGTTTGTTTTTATAGTGTAAGAAAAAAACAAAAAAATGAATTACCAACTGATTTAATTTTCTAACAAATTTTACTTTGTATATTTATTGTTTTAAATATTATATTATACAAAAATCAGGCACCAATACATAAGGCATCCAACTATTACTAGGTATTTAAAAAAATTTAAATATAATTTCATTTTTTAAAAATAACAATCACTAGGTACCTATTTAGGATTTAAATTATTTTATTATTTTAACGAATTTAATATTGCATTTATTTCCGTGATAATATATGCAGGTTTAATTGGGTTATAGTACAATATACATTTCGTAAAATAATTTGTACGTTTTTTTTATTAAGGATTCAACTACTAAGGTTATTAGCCTGGTAACGTGAGGGAGTGGAGGGAAGGGGGGTGAGATTAGTTGGAACGCGTTTCTGTTGCTCAAAAGCCCGGTGGTCACCCATCTGAGAGCTTGTTACCGGTACTTATATTCAGAGCGTTTCCGCAGATTGAGCTCACGACCGTGCCTCACCAAGAAACAATTTGGATGTTTTTGTTGTAAGTTTTTCTATTAGGTTAAAGAAAAGATGAGCTTACTATTATGGTAAAGTACGTGTACCTACCTATACTATTACATACAAAATGTTTTGAGTAATATGGTACATATTGGTTATTCTTTAATCAACAGTCAGCGGAATCAACATAAATAAATATTCAGCGGAATAAACATAAACATTGTTTATTAAAAAAATATCCAGTGGAATTCATTTATAAAACCCCATAAAATTATCATTTTAATATTTATACTTGTTTTATGTTGTAAAATGTATAAGTAAACATTTAAAACTATTTTCATTTTTCGCAATACAATAGTATTAATATAACACATTAATGATTTTTAGAAATGATTATAAAAACCCTTTATTATCAGCTGATGAGAAAAGGGCAATGTTACGTTGGCTGACTTTGGGTAATATAATGTTGACACATCGAGCAAAATTTGAGAATATGATGCCAAATACTCAGTTATTTACATTTAGAACTGTTTGTACCAAATATATATATTATATTTAAGATTTATGATACAACTTAAAAATGAATTAATTATTTAGAATTTAAAAGAGAAAACGAAAAATGAAACATACGCATTGTGTTTACAATATATGAAATTAACAACTCGCAATCAAATTATTCTCACCAAAGTGGATTTTAAATTTATAAGCTAAAAACATTTTATATTTTTGCAAATATTTTTATAGGAAGAAAGTCAGGTGTGTTATGAATGTTTGCAACATCAATCGAAAACTATGGAAGCTTGTTCAAATTGTTATTTTGCTCTACTTTGTTCAGAATGTTGCAAAAATCGACATAATAAAGAATATAATTGTAAAATTCAAATGAGCCAGGGTCATATAGTTAAATTTCAAAATGAATTAAAAAACAAAAAAATTAATAAAAATTTAAATTTATCTTCAACACACCGTATTTCTATTGAAAAATCTATAATGAATAGTATGATTCAGCTATACCTATTAATTTATATGAATTAATATTAATTTATCAACGGTTTTACAGGTGAACAATGGGAAATTCGTGAATACATTTCTTCGTCTTTAGTAACATCGAAGCTTTCAAAAACATTAACATCGACAATGCATTCACAGTTTTCGGTTTTTTCAAAAACATCGGACTACTCATCATCAGGTACTTAATTATTCAAAATATGTGAAATTATTAATAAATAACAATACATATATGTAGGTATACAATTTTGTATAATCACTACTGCAAATATAAAATTTAATTTATAAATTTATTCAAGTTCAATAATATTGTTAATCTGTTTGGAAATGCTTTATAATTTTCAAAAGACCATTATTTATCTTCAATCTGATTCGTTAGTTCATATATTGTTGTCCCTTGTCACCAGGCAATTCAAAAACATTTAAAATTTCCCGTTCATGGACCTAATCATATAAAATAAATGATCAAACCATTTTCAATTACGACAAATGGATTATGATAAAGGAAATTTATTTTTTATTACTTAAATTGGCTTAACACTTTAAAATATTTTAATGCCGGAGCAGCTGATATTTTATTTTAGGAATCGTTATTATAGAATCCTTAACCTCATTAGTCCCATTAAAAAAATACTAATAATTGTAATTTCCCTTATTGGCAAAGAACTCAAAACCATAGTTTGGAGAAAAAGTAAAGCTCATTCGATTATATAAAAACTAAAACAAAACCAAATTATGATAATTTTTTAAATTTGAGAGTTCAATATAAATTTAAATCTAATTAGTTTTCTATGAGTTAATATGCACCGTTCTGAAAGTGAAATTGTAAAAAACCCGGAACAATTTTAGAAATGGTTCTCCTTCAATAGGTACTAGTTTTTGCGGTATGCCGAACTCTGTATTCCTAGATGATAAAAAATTACAAATAATACTTAATAATGAGGCTATAGATGACTTATTCTCTAATTATTTCTCATCTGTATTTAGTTAATCACCTACTCCTTCATAAGAAACATTAAACATTTCTTCTTCTATTCAACAACGATTGTATCATGTCTTTCCTTCTAGCTGTAGTGTTTCACTTCATGAGGTATCTGACGCTCACTAAATAAATCTTCGTCTCCTGGCCCTAACAGAGTTTCTAGTTACTTTCTAGGAAATTCATCGAATTCCATAGACTATCCTTTTTTTTCTTTTATGTAAGAAACCCCTCTCGGAAGATCTAGCTTAAAATTTTTGGAATGTGTATCAATATAATTTTTTTCTTGAAAAATATACATATATATTAATTTTGAAGAAATATTTAACCTTCTATTGGTTGCGTGGGGTAAACATTTTCCATAAAGCATATAATAAAATGTTATTATTATAATTATATAATATAATAATAACATTATTACACATGATTGTTTATCTTATCATTACACAACTCTTTTTAATTACTTAGATATAACTAAGTAAATTCAGATTAAAAAAAAATTATATATTTTATTTAATATTGAACATTGTTATCATTTGGTCATGTGAGGTGAACATTTTCCAAATACATTAAAAACAGCGTCCGTGCCAAACAAATTTACACTGACTCCAATTAGGTGCCAATAAAGTTAGATAAGCGTAGGAAAAATAGTTATACAAATCATAAGCTGATAAGAAATTTGACTTTTTTCATGATTAAGTAGATCTATTTAGTCATGGTTTGACTCCATTATTAATATAGTTATTAGAACGATAAAATTTTTTAAGGTAAAAAATTATTTACCCCATGGGGCATATTGTAGGTTTTCAATATTTTTTTTGGATTCTCCCGTCCAGCATAAGTTACAAACGGTGCATCCGAATTGCATGCCAAAAAAATAAATATAAATCGGGTCGTCCGAATTGCATGCCGTCTCTTGAAGGGATCTGTCCGAATAAATAACTTACTTTTCAACTGGAGGATCGGGATTTTGTTACATTACAAAAAACATATAAATATTGTAGAAGGTGACACTGTGAATAAAAATCATAAAATAAAACTATTTTTTTTCATCGACAACAAAGGCCATTAGTTAAATAAAACTATTGTAGTTTAGGGTAATCAAGTGAGTGTATTTTAAATAATATTATTTTTAAATTTGGTGGTTTTTTTTTGACATTTCGGGCACACAATATTACAATAATTTAAATAAACAAAATAATATATAATAATAATTCATAATAATAAGATATGTCAATATAGAAACATCTTTTTTTGAATAATAAAATAGTATAATAGCATTTTTTTAAACGGTTAATATTACAATGAAAAATTACGTTACAGTATAATAATAATAATAATAAACTAAAAAACAACAATAATAATAATAATAATAATAGTAGGTAATAATATTATAATAATAGGTAGAATACAATTATAATAATATAATTATCTATATAGTATATAGTCATAACATAATATTATTAAAAATTGAATAAAAAGTAAATAAACGTGTGGTGTACGGCATGCAATCCGGACAAAGCCCTCTAAGAGATGGCATGCAATTCGGACAAACCCCTACAGGAGATGGCATGCAATTTGGAAATTTCTTTTTTTTGGCATGCAATTCGGATGCAGCCGTTACAAATACGTTATTCTTTATAATTTATATAATTTATAATTCTTTATACACCATAATAATATTATCAACATTTTTTCCAAAACTTTTATGATTAAATTATTTTTTAATTTAGTTCTAACATATAAGCACCTGGCGGCAATTACAAGTAATACATATTATACATACGAATTATATAATATTGCAGTGTGGTTAAATATTCAGATACCAAGATTCACTTTAATAAAGTCATGAAAATTATAACGTACATTTGTAATTTTAGACAAAGCAAGTACTTACTCTAAGCCGTCTAAGCAGCCACAAAACAAAATTATAAACATAACCCACTCCACAAAATCCGAATATAAAGATGATTCAATCTATTCTAGAAGTAATGAAATGTACAATTCAGTATCTTCGCAAATCAGCAATAAAAGAGTCAGAAAACGTATTAACGGTCTGGATAACGATAAGAAGAATTACGCTCACTCGGATATTGGTGATACAATTAGTATTTTTGGTATATATTTTACTACTACACTTTAATCGGTTCAAGAATTTAAGATGTCACATATTATAATTTATAGTTATTAGTAGTTAGTTAGAGCCTATTTAAGCTTCTACTAGGTAGATTTACATTTTAGATATTCTGTAATCTGCTATTTAATGAAATCTTATAAATTCTTATAGCACCATTCTAAAATATAATTTTAAAAGCAAAATTTTAAATAATAAAATATTGATCATTGAAATACAACGGTAAAACGACAAAAGTTAGAGAAGTATTTGAATACCTACCTAACAAGACTGCATATATAGGTATATAATGTATACATATCATATTATATTATTATACATACATACATTATAAGTAGTCGGTTTTCAACATTTAACTTCCATCCTCAACCAATTCAAAAAAAAAAAATACATAAGTCTTTAGAATACTTATTACTTATACTTATAAAACTTAAATTATTTATCAATTTAGATTTGTACTAAGATTCACTTAATTCATTACGAGTCATGACCTATTATAATGTCAAGATGTATTTATAATTTTAGAGGATACTCGTAATTACTCTAAGAACGCTAAGCGGTATACGCAGTCTAAGCGGTTACTAAATAATGTTATATACGTAACCCACTCAATAAAATACGAAAACGGCAATTTTAAAGTTTTATCAGATTATTCTAGAACTAATAAAATGTACAGTTCCGTATCTTCACAAAATATCAATATCAGGGTCAGAAGTCAAAATAACGGTCTAGATTATGACAAGAAAAATTATATTCAGTCGGATAAAGGTAATCCCTTTTATTAAATCATAATTATACAGAAATTATTAAAATTAAAAAATCCCAAATAACAATAAAAACTGTAGCGAAATTGCAAAATAAAAATGAACAAAATGACTGGAAATCGCTTCGAAAAAATTCAAAAATTCGAGATAAAAATCATATTCTGAACAATCGAGTAAATGTTCTATCTATATCTACTATGAAGTACAGATTGATTAGATCACCGGGTTGTTGGATACCAATATTTATGTTCATCAACCGTGGCTCATATGAAGACGTAACTATATTAAAAAATGTAATAAGCCGCGGAACGCCATATATTTTAATGATTGAAAAAAATGGACGAGTTTACTACAAGATAAATGATTATCAATATGCCATTTTGAATAACTACAGTTTGATATAAAATCATTGTAACATGTATGAGAAGCATGTATGTATATGTTATATAACCATATATCATATGTATTAAAATGTATGGAATATAATTTCAATATAAAGATAATACGGAAAAGTATCAATGTATTTTAATGAAAATAAACACAAAATATAAATATTTTAATGACTTATTTTCTTAAGATCGTTAAGAACTATCATTATATACCTAATACGCCTGTATAGATACCTTATTTCTATTGTTTTAATTCTAAGCAAAGCCTGGAATATATTGGTTTTACAACTCATTATATTACTTATTTTTTAACTATACATAGACATTAAGCATAATTAAAAAGTACCTACCTATATCTATACCTAATGACCTATGCCTATCAAGTGTATTATTATTACCTAAGACCTACTGCTGTAAAAAAAATCGTGAATTTCCAAAAGTCCAAACATTTTCCGTGAACATTTTTAATTTTTAGTTAGTGTACTTTGGTTGGACAACTTTTCGATTTTATCGGTAACGGGCAGAGTCGCTTGAGCTGTATTTACAGAAAATTGAAAAAATTAAAATAGTCAATTTTGAAATTTATTTATGTTGCCGGTTATTTTATATTTATTTCGAAGTGTCACTGTCTAATGAGTGGCTGTTTCCATCAATGTTTTTTTTCCACGCTATGTATGCCATTTATCAAATAATCTTATTATGCATTTATTGTGTATTACAAGGTTTATCTCAATATATAAGTTTTAAAAAAAATGTATAATTATTGTATTCAAAACAAAAACCAATTTTAAAGATAGTACCTATCAATTTTGTGGTAATTAAATAATGAATAATTTGAGATATTTTCCCCATACATAAAAGCATTCTCTAGACTATATTGTATATACATTATACAATATATATATATAGGTACATACAGATATGTATTATACAGTATCCACCACTGATATCATATAACTATATATAATATAAGTTTATACTATAAGTTATAATGTTATACATAAAATATAATTATATGAACATAATATAAACTAATTTAGTTTTTAGTATTTTACATTATAATTTACAATATATAGGTAAGTCACGAAAATTAGAAAAGTTAGAAAAACTGAAAACTGTTTAAATCTTAAACATATAATTATTAAGTATAATTCATATAAAATACAATTATAGTATTCGAAAAAAATAAGTATTTATTTTAGTATTTTATTGTGCACTTTCGCATTAGTATTTGTTTACATTTTATAAATTATTCCATTCAAGGAAATACTTTCACTTATGCATAAGCGACCGGATGAGTTGATTGAACGGGATCTCAAGAATTCATATTATATACGTACAACACTATAGCTAATAATATATCATACGATAATTTTGTTATATTATTTCCATAATAATATATCAACACCTATCGTATTTTGTATCATAATTCATATTCTAGTAAACATAATGTATTAAATATTTGTAACAAAGAGTATTACAGTAGGTTATACTATATAATGATAATGCTATTGTAGAATTACAACTTTTTTTTATAATTTGCCTATATAAAACTAAAATAACTCAGTAAAACAATCGTTGAATCATCTATTGCAGACAGAACGCGTACCGAACAATTCTAAAGATTTTCACACCTGCAGATCAAAGATACTCGGTTAAGTAAATATGTTTTCTCCCACGAATTAAACCCAACCAATGCCTTTGATTATACTACCGTATAGTATCAAAACCTGCAGACAACCAGTATAGGTATTACGGGTATACCTTTTTAATATTTACCAGTCATCGCGGCTTCTCTGATTTTTTCTTCATTATATTGTATTATGTAGTTCTAGTTTTATTCGTATCATATGTTAACCCATCCACCTATATAATATATATTTATATCTATAAATTGTACGTGTATCCGTGAGATCACTATATATTATATTTGATTGCCTACGCGCATGCACGGGTAAAAAAATAAACAATTTTCATAAAAAGTAAATAACAATCACACATTTCAGCATTATATATCATTATTACATGGTATAGCCGTAGAGGTATATATTAAGGTGGCGCATGCGCTCAGACAACCTCCACACCTCTACTCATTCCAAGGTTCTACTTTACCCCGCACACCGTTCACCGTCACGTCGATGCACCAAACCAAACTCGCCTACTCGCGTTGCGTGTCGCGTTGGTTTCGTTTTTTCGTTGTTGTCCTCAGTATTTCACTGCGTCGGTCCGTGGGCACACGTTCGCGTTCAGTTCGCACCTGATGAAAATTGCTTGTGTTTTTTCATCTAATCAAATGTAATTCGATTTTTCCAGTTTGACGCAACGTAAATAATGCGTTTATACACTCGTAAGACGCGCGTATTCGAAATAACATACTGCGATCAGAATATTATTTTGTGAACGATAAATATACAAAATAAGAAGAATCTATTCCATATAATATTTATATTGGACGAAAATAAAAAAGCCGTTCGTTAAAGTCTCCGCCGACGCCATGAAACCAACTTCGGTTTATCTGATCCTGTTGATCGGATTCTGCGTATCCGTGAGTCATGATTCTTATACATTTATTTCGGTATTATAAGTACACGCATGCATGTAAGAAAAATCGTTTTAAATATAGTTACATGGACATCCAAACTGACACGATACCATAATCTGTATAATCGGTTCTTGAAAAAAAAAATGTAACATTTCGTGACTCATATAATAATATAATATTATTAAACCTATTATATTATGTACGTAATGTAATTATTATGTATAGTCATGAAGATACTTGGAAAACCGGTAAAAATAAAACTATTAAGCACAATGTCAATTGTTGACAATTTATTGTTTCCTTTCTAAAATTGTTGAATTTTTAACTTGTAATATAGTGTATATACTATATATATATAATATTTTTATCAATTTTGATGTACCTATATAGTATATATATATATATATATAAGGTAACAATTGGTTTTTACTAAAACATAAATAACTATATTGTTAAGATCACATACAATATTTATATGAACTCAGGTCTGTACCTATGCATAGTAAAGTAAAATATACTAATTTCAATGACATTTAAAGCCAATATGTTAACATAGTTACCTATAAATTGGCTACTACATATTATGATATCTTTAATTTAGTTTTGGCTTATACATTTTATTTTATTTTATTGATCAATTGTTTACGTAACACTAAATTTATTCTCGTCCAAGAAAACGATTTTATACATTGAAATATTATGTTATCAATACATGTATATCCCCACATTTTAATATTATTATACATTGAATGGATACAATATAGATTATATCAACTACTATTTTTAAAGAAACAGTATTATTCAAATGTCTTTAATTCCGCGTTTTAATTTTTAAACATCCATCTATTTTATGTGTGTTTTCCTTCCTGGCTCCATTTACCATAAAAAATGTAAAAACTGTATTCAACGCCAGCTGTTTATTATTTTTATAATTTTCTTTATGTAAACAACTAAATGTCAAATGTTTTAAAAGCTCTTTTATTCAATGACCTTTATCATATACAATATAGGAGAAACCTATTGTAGCATTATGATGGTGTATAGTTGTGATAATAGTACCTACTCCTATATCATTAATCTTATTGCAAATTAATTGTATTTGCGTAACCTGCCCATATGGCTATGTATTATGAACGGTTTCGTTACGCCAATATTATATACTTATTCTTGTTACTCGAGTGAAATATTTTAAATGTCGTAGATATGCACCTACACAATACATTTTATATTAAACTTGATAACACAAAAAAAAATCATATATATAATATAAGATAAGCATCTACAGACAATCTTATTTGAATAGTATATTTGGGTTATTGTATACTATTACATTTCTTCTTTAAAAGTATATTGTTTGAAATTCATATACAAAAATTAAAATAATTAACATTATTTTCGAATCAACACAATCATCCAACATTATCAACGAAATTAAATTATGAAACTACTACGTTACATCATAATATTATCTTTATAATATATTTGATGCAGTGGCGTAAGTATAGGGGAACTTCGGAGTTAAACCCCTCCTAGAATTTTTCACTTTATATAAGAATGTGAAAAGGTTTTATAAATCATTTTTTTTTGTTTAACCCCGTCCCTCATTATTTAATACTTTTGTGCACTGATTTGAGAAGATAATATAAAGATTAAAATATGTATCTAATGAAATTTGAAACATCCTAATATGGTCGTAGTTAAAAAAAAAGACCTTAACAGAAAATGTCAGAAATGCTGTTCGTACTACATTTTAAGTATTTTATACGATTTGGACATACCTATAGGTATATTGTGTACAAAATATAGGTACGTATATATGTATCATATAACGCGCGGTATACCTATATTATTCAATAAAACAATTGAATTTTGTTTTACATGACCTTATATAGACTATATTGAAATTCTTTGCATTTTCAAACAATTTATTTGTATTAACAATTTATAATCTAAAAAATCATGAAAAAATGCAGTTGTAAAAAAGTACAATTTATATGTGCCAAGATGAATATCTTCCAAACATGAATATCTACAAAATTCCAATCTTAAAATTTTCAAATTTTCAACATTATATAATTAATTAATTGCATTATAACTTATAAGTCTACAACTATAACAAATTAAGTTTTCTAAGAGAATATTTTCATTCAATATTGTGCATGATGTGTATATTGTGACATACTGTACAAATATTTATAAATTATGTGTATATAATAATATAATAATAATAATATTATTATATTTTTTCTCCAAATGACCCTGCAGTACATCACGTAGCATGACGGATCTATATAATAAGTATATAAATTGAAGAAAAATCTATTTAGGTACACTAAGACACGTTTTTATACATAATGTATAAACCTGCAGTTATTATTTTTGAGAATATGGTTAAGCATATATGCGGTTATTTTAACTAAAATATTATCATGTATCCCATTTGAGTATTTGTATTCAGCATCATTAAAAATAA